AGTCTGCAGCTAATTACAGGGACCTGTCTGCAGCCCAGACGGCTGCCAGCCATCGTAATCACATCAAACTGGGATGGGCTGGGCTCTCTTGCACTGCCCCATTGATTCACAGCCCTGTCCCCAGCCTTACCCCAGCGGGCTCCTGCTGGCCAGCCTTGCATGGGTAGGGCCCAGTTTGCTGCGTCCGTGGGGCACCCTGGGGATCCAACAACAGCAGATCAGCCGTGCAGTTTGGGATCTTAGCAAACAGAGCAAAGCTTGGGAATGCCATCTATGTCCCATGGGAGGGATGCATTACCCACAGGGATTGAAGGCAGCAGCAGGGTTGGCGCCCCGCACCCACGGGTGTTTCAATTCAGCACCCCAGGGTCACAGCAGCTCCATCCCAGCTGTGGAGCTGCGGCTGTTTGCTGATCCAACACCGCTGGTGGTCCTTCATCAAGCTGGCACCTCTGTGGTCTGCTAATGCACAGAACTGGGTCAGGTGTGTTCCTCCAAGCAGCAATCTGTAGCCATTCTCAGCATGCAGCCGGCCTGCCTGAACGCTGGCAAGGACAGGCAGAGCCCAGGGAGTAAGCCGCCCTTCTGCTTTATCCCATTGACTGCCAATCTGGCGCGTTAATCATTGACCCCGGTGCACGGCTAGGAGTCCTGAGCTCGGAGCCGTGCACGTACATCCTGGTGCCCTGAGCCGCGGGATGCTCTGCTGCTGGGGCAGAGCTGCGGGACGGCCTGGAGCCTCCGAGGGCTGAAGTTACCGACCTCCGTGCCCACAGCTCTCCGCCCTTTCCTGGGGAGCCATTTTGCGGGGGGTGTCAGCCCTCGGGCAGCTCTTGGGCGGTGCCAGCACAGTGCAGAGGTTCCCACAGGGAAAGCCCCGGGCTGCTGTGCGGGGAGCCCCAGGAGCCGCCGCATCGCTTTGTTTTGAAAAGCCGAGGCAGGAAGGAAGCGAGCGGTGACAAACGCTGCGTGGGGAAGGGACGGGACGGGTTCGCACCGCAGAGCCCTGAGCCAGGCACGCCGGGCGAGCAGGAACGGCGGCTCGGGGCAGAACAATAGCAGCCCGGGGGGAATAAATTATTTTCCACCGAATTGGGCGAGACCTCGGTCTCCTCCCACTGCTCCGCTCAGGGACAGGCCACTAACCCCGGACTCAGCCGTGCTGGGAAAGGGCTGGCGGCAGCTGCGGGACATCTCCCACTGTGGATGAGCAAACATCAAAGTGCGGCTCTCCCGGAGCTGCCCCAGGGTGAGCACAAAAGCCCGCGGTCCAACCTCCCCTCCCCACAAGCCTCCCGACATCCTTTCCCAGCGCTCCACGTCCGGCAGGCAAAGCCCCCGTCGCAGGGCTTATTTGTAAACCCGGAGATCGCTGCAGAGACTCAGCGAAGAGCCTCGATGTCCCCGCCGCGCTGACCCTGCAGGATGACGCCTCCTGGGGACAGACTTCTCCGCGCCGTGCCGAGGTTCTCCCGCAGCTCCGCTCTTCTCTCCGCAGCTCATGTCCCGGCCGAGTCCCGCATGGCCGCAGCGAGACGAACCCCCCCCGTGCGGCACCGCCACCGCGCTCCCCCCGGCCTCGTCCGACAGCGACTCCGGCTGTGCCCTGGAAGAATACCCGGAGCCCCCCGCAGAGCCCGCGGCCCCCGAGGTGAGCAGCTCCGACCCCGAGGGGCAGACGCGCCTTTAGCTGAAGCGACGCCGCTTCATCCCCTCTGTCACCCGCCTGTGTTTCCCCAAGGTCCCCGCCTGCTTCGAGAGCCGCCCCACGGATCAACCCCGTCCTGCCGGCCGGAGCCTGCTCCGTGTCAGAGCCCTCCTGCAGCAGCTGCCGCCTCAAGACTGCGATGTAAGAAACGCACGCGTTTGCTTGATGCCGCCCTCCCCCCGCTCCGCTGCCGCGGGTCCTTCACCTCCACCTCCCGCGCAGGAGCGGTACTGCCCCGACCTCGAGGAGGAGGAGAGGAAGCAGCTCAGGGCGTTCAGCGCCCGCCGCCGACGGGACGCGCTGGGCCAGGGGGTGGCGGTGCCGGTGCCGGGCTCCCGCCACGGCTGTCTGTGCGGGAAGGTAAGGCCGCTCCCCGACGGACAGCGCGGAGCCGCCCCCGAAACGCAGCCTCACCGCGACCCCGTGCTTTGCAGTGCGGCAGGAGGCTGAGCAAAGGAGACCCCGGGATTGTGGCGTCGCGGCTGGGAGAGCAGCTCTGGCACCCGCCCTGCTTCTGCTGCCACGTCTGCCACCAGCCCCTGGTGGACCTCATCTACTTCCAGCAGGATGGAAGGATCTACTGCGGTCGGCACCACGCCGAGCTCTTTCGGCCTCGCTGTGCCTCCTGCGACCAGGTGGGCACCAGGTGAAGAGGTGCTTTGGGCTCCGTTGTGCTGCCATTAGGTGCTCCTGTGCTCTGCTGGCAGCTGCAAACGCAGCAGGACGAGCCAGAGGAGCTCCCTTCCTGCACCCCAGGGATCCCCATGCCTGCTCCAAAGCACAGAAAAGCATGTTCTGGGTGGTGTATTCTGTGGCTGGGTGCTTATGGGATGGTTTGTTTGTTCCCTTCCAGCTGATCTTCTTGGAAGAGTGCATCGAGGCTGAGGGCCGGCGCTGGCACCCGGAGCATTTCTGCTGCCTGGAGTGCGACGCACCGCTGTGCGGGCAGCGCTACGTGATGCGGAGCGGCCAGCCCTGCTGCCGCAGCTGCTTCGACAGCCTCTTTGCCGAGCCGTGCCAGGCCTGCGGGGAGCCCATCGGTACGGCCGTGCTACCAGGGGGACAGGTGGGCTGTGGGAGGCCCCCCCTTAACCTGTGATCCCCTCATAGGTGTCGACAGCGAAGAGGCCACACACCAGGGTCTGCACTGGCACGCCTGCGCCGCCTGCTTCTGCTGCAGTCTCTGCCGAAAGCCGCTGCGTGGGCAGCCCCTCACCGCCCGCTGCGGGCGGCTCTTCTGCTCCGAGAGCTGCAGTCTGGGCCGGGATGCGTCCTCTGCTGCCTCCACCACCTCCGATTCCTCTGACTCGGCCTTTGTCTCGGCACCGTCCCCTGACTCGACGCCCGTCTCCAGAGCCAGCCACGCCACCAGGGCTGGGAGCACCGCGGCAGCTGGGGGCTGCAGACAGCGGGTGGAAGGGGCTGGTAGGGGACCTGAGTGCTCCACTTGCAAGGGACTGGGAGGGAAATGCAAGCAAATCCAGGCTCTGGGTACTTCACTGGGGGTACAGCACGTGTGTGCAGCCCAACTCAGGGCAGTAGCAGCAGCTGTGGGCTCCCAGCCCACATCCCACATCTGAGGTTTGGTTGGGACAACCCTGTTTTGCATCCTGGGACAACCCCTGCCGAACAGGCAACTGCAGCAAGGCAGGCTCAGCCTTCTTCTCCCACACCCTTAATTGCTTTTTTTCTTCCAGAGGTGCTACCAGATCAGGCCTCTACACATCCTGCGTTCAGGAGCCCAGAGGACCACGGAGCAGCTGTGGAGAGGAGCAAGGATTCTGTGTGCACAGGGATGCTGGGAGCATCAACCAGCCACCCCTCCAACGTTCAGCCCTGCACAGAGGGTCACTGCAGGCTTCTGGGAGGTCCTGAATGCCGAATACTGCCAGGGGATGGAAACCCACACTTCCAAGTGGGTCGGCCCCCTGCCCAACCCGGCCTACATCTGGAGGACATTGACCCACAGGATATCATGGAAGAGGACGATTCCTGGTGTCCCACCTGCTCTTCATCCTCAGACTCTGACTCGGAAGAGGAGGGTTTCTTCTTTGGGAAACCCATTCCCAAGCCCGGGATGAGCTCTGTGGGCAGGGAGCCCCAGCGCCTGGAGCGGGCAGGGCGCAGGATGGCGAAGCTGCGTGGCAGCAGCAAGCACTGCAGCGTGTCCTAGCGCAGGGACGCTCGGTATGCCGGGGGCCCCAGGCGCTGCAGAGGCTGTGGGGAAGGTGGCACTTTGCGTGGTATTGAAGCAGAGGGGCAGCGGCTGGGGGCCAAATGCACGGGCGGGGGGGGAGAGGGGGAGAGCGCCTTGTATGGCGCTGCCATCCTGCCAGCACTTGCAGTGGTCTCAATGCATTGCAAAGACTTTTTAGACACAGCCCAAGGCGGAGGTGGCGGGGGGGAGGGAGAAGCTGCTGGGATCTTTGACGAGCAGCTGCTGGCAAAGCACGGCCTGCAGTGCCTGCTGGCCTCTCCCTCAATTAGGAACAGGTAAAGCGAGCAGGGAGCAGAGAACCAGCAGCCCGCACTGGGGTATGGTCTGACTGCTGTCTCAGGCAAACCCAAGGCCCCAGAGAGCAGCTGTGCTCTGGGAGGGCAGCCAAGGACTTAGGACACGGGCAGACACCTGCATGGCACCTGCTGCAGGGATTCCTGCCCAGACTGGCCAGGACAGATCTGGCCACCAGGGTCAGATCCAGATGCCAGGTGAAGATCCCTCACTCATAGAGATAGCTTGGAGGAGCAGAGCTGATGCTGCCCCGCATGGGGCTGTGTCCCCTGCCGCTGCAGGGAGGAGACCAGCGGGGCAGATCTGCCACCGTGATGGACGATGCTCCAACAAAGCTCAGCCAAGGCCTGAATACATAAAAGCCAGCCACACCTGGCCTGTTTCTCTCCAGCCTGGGTTTGCAGCAGCATTAACTGTGGTGCTGGAGAACCGTTTTTGAGGGCAGCTGAGGGGCCCCAGGGAAGGACCGGGCTGGGGTGTCACCGTGGGACCCCTCCCTGTGCCCGCTGCCCCAGCAGAACAGGAACAGAGCAACAGCGGTGCAAAAATAACTCCTTTTTATTTATGAACACAAGAACAAAACCACAAATTGTAAGAGAACATCCATGAAAAACAAGAACAGAATAAAGAGAGCTCCCCCCTCCCTCCAATAAAACCATCTCCTGTCTCTAAAATATAAGCCTACGTATGAATCCTATCTTGCCCACACTCCCCAGTTACTGCCTACAACATCAGCCCCAACCTCCCTCCAAACTCAGCCCCCTCCAGCCAACCCCCAACCCCCCAGGAGGGCCCACGGCAGCACATCCTTGCAGCCCCAGCGCAGGCTGTGCCAGCACAGCCCCACAGCTCCCTCCTCAGCAGCTGGGGTGCGTGGCATCGTAGTGCTGGATGAAGTCCTGCAGCTCCTTGAGGAGTTGGTTGCGGAGCTCGCTTAGGTTGGCTCTCAGCGCCTTCATCAGCAGCGCCTCCATGGAGGGCTCCTTCTGCAGCAGCATCGCGGACACCAGGGCAAATTGGAGGCAGAAGTCGTGGTAGCCCTGCGGGGAGCGGCGCGGTTCAGCACAGGGCAGCCCAGAATCTCCCTGCCAGCGGCACAAAGCGGTTCTTTCTTCCCTCAGAGCGTCCCAGAGGCGGCAGCCTCTCCCCGCAGCGCTGTGCTGAGCTGCCCCACGGCTCGCTGCCACCCGGCTCTGCTCCTTTCCCCCACAGAATCACAGAATTGTAGGGGTTGGAAGGGACCTCCAGAGCTCATCGAGTCCAACCCCCTGCCAAAGCAGTTCCCTACAGCAGGTCGCACAGGTCGGCATCCAGGCAGGTCTTGAACATCTCCAGAGAAGGAGACTCCACCACCTCCCTGGCAGCCTGTTCCAGTGCTCCGTCACCTCACTGTACAGAAGTTCTTGTGCACATTGGTGCAGAACTTCCTATGCTGCAGTTTCCAGCCATTTCCCCTTGTCCTGTCTCCACTCACCACTGAAAAGAGTCCGGCCTCGCCATTCTGCCCCCCACACCATAGATATTTATAGACCTGGATCAGGTCCCCTCTCAGTCTTCTTTTCTTGAGGCTGATCAGACCCAGTTCACTCAGCCTTTCTTCATAAGAGATGCTCCAGGCCCCCCACCATCTTTGTGGCCCTCCGCTGGATTCTTTCCAAGGGAGAACCCTGTGGGTTCTGAAGCTCCCAACGGCTCTCCTGCCCACGGCCGGTCCCGCTCGCCCTCGCCTGTGCCAGGACTCACCTGCTCGATGCTCTCCTTCTTGGTGAGGATGGCGGTGGAGCGCAGGTCCGTGCCGGAATGTGCGGAGCGCGGGGGGCGGGGTAAGCCCTGGAAACCTGCAGCCTGGGCGGTGGAAGAAGGGAGGTGCGGTTGGACGCCTGACGGGGAGAAGGCCTGGGCAAGGGAACGGGTTGGGGCCGGCAGCACCTTGGAACTGCAGGCTGGGGACCAGTCAGCCTGGGGGGAACCTGCTGGGACCCCGCCGCCTTCCCCCACGTGCACGAGGCGGCCCCTTGCTTCCCACTTCCACTGCAGCCCAGGAGCCTTGCCTTCAAGAGCCGAGGGCCCCGCTGGCTGATTTCCCTTCCCCACCAGGCCACAATTCGGCCTCCCTGCAGCACCCTGGTTTGCTTCAGTGCAGCTCGACTCCTGGCCTTGCTCACGCTGCAGCACGCTCTCAATCTCCACGTTCTTTTTTTGGCCTTTCTCCACACGGACTCCCATTTATCAGCCTCTCCTGAAGAGCCAGCACCAGGGCTGCTATGGGCTCCGCATCCAAATAAAGCAAGGCTTTACCCCCAGGACGAAACCCTGTGACTGGGGACGCCACAGAGGAACTCCCCCCGAGGCTCCTGGCCTAGATTAATGCTCCTGGGCCTCCCTGCAGGTGCTTCCCAGAGACACGCGGGCACCATTCTGGCACAGTGCACAGGGCAGGGCTGCGCACGTACCAGCTCTGTCCAAGCCCAAGGAGGCTGCCCGCTCCTGGCTGGTGCTGCTGCCTCAGTGCAGACACTGGAGCCGGCCGTGCTGGGCTGTGTGCTGCTGGGCTCTGCAGTAACTTCCAGCGGGATCTGCGAGTGTTCAGATTGGTGAAGGCCGCAAAGAAGCGGTGGGAAGGCGCCCAGGGGATGAAAACAGAGGCTGTGTGAGAACAGCGGGAGCCAGCACTGCAAGCTAATGCTGCTGCCTTCAGGAAGGGAAACCTCAGGCACTCTTCTCCCGGGAGGAAACAGCACAGAGTAGTGCAGCCACAGGCTCAAACCCACCCCATCCCGGGCAGCCACCACCTTTGCTTCACCAGCAACACGTGGCAGACGCTGCCATGCTTGAGAGGGCAGGCAGAGCTCAGCGTGTGCCTCCAAAATGGGGCCAGCACTGACAGCCTCAGCAGGCTGCAGAGATAATGGACTGTGCGGATACAGCTCAGCACTTCCACTAGCCTCAGGGGCGCTTTGACTGCGTGGTTTTATCAGTGCAAAGCACTACGGCTGCATTTCAGAGTCCACACAGAGGCATTTGGATACAGCCTGGGCAAATGGAAGAATGAGGTTCATGGAGGGGACCACAAAATCCCACCTCCCTGGTGGCACGACATTTAGGCAGAAAGAGGAGACAGATGCATGAGCGCGTACCAGCTCCAAGCCTTCCTCCTCGCTGGTGCTGGATGTCTCCGAGGAGACTGGCTCCAACTCCAGGGCACAGAGCTGCTCGTTGTCTGCAGCTCCCTCTCCTCCTTCGGGCTCAACCTGCAGACACGCAATAGCATGAGGCAGGGATGAGCTGGGAGACAGGACAGGCAGAGTGCTGAAACCCAAAGGAAACCGGGGCATGCGCAGCCCAAGAGAAAAGTCAGGAAACCATCAGGCTGCTCCCACTTCTGTCCAAGAGACACCAAAGTGAAGAGTGAGAGAGAGAAGCGAGGTGTGACACAGGTGGAACGGATCCCCCGAGCTGGGCGGCTCCCCGGGTGAAAGTCTCTCCATCTGCACTCGGGAAAGAGGTGCACACGTACTGGCTTTGCTCCTGCCGCTGGCTCCTGCTCTGCTGCTTGGGGGTCAGTGCCCAGGCTCTTCTCTGGGTTCTTCGCTGCATGCCCGGGCTGTTGCGGCGCCTCGCTGCTCGCCACCAGCTGGCCCTGGGGGAAATCCTGCCGGTCAAGGCCATGGCAGCACCAAGGGATCCATGTGGCCGTGAAACTGGAGTCAGCACCGTGTACTTGGGGTACAAACCCCCCTCACCCACCTGCTGCTGGCTTTGCAGACTGTTTCTGCAGGCAGCAGGTGACTGGGGAGCAGCGAGCTGCTCTCTGACCCCTGGCTGGCTCTCCGGGGAGCAGGACCGAGAGGGCTTGCAGGATGGATGGTAGCCTGCGGAAACACAACAGCACTTTATAAGCAAAGTGCCAACCCTCCCCACGCAGATGCTGCTGGCTGCACACACCACAGAGGGGTCCTGGGCAGCAGCCAGCGCTGCAGCAGCACCAACCTTGGGAGCTGCGGGGAGAACGGCTGTAGTCTGCTGTCTCCTGCTGGATGGGCCGAAGGAGTCGGTAGCGTCTCCGGCGTGGGCCATAGTGGCGCCGGGGGAAGCAGTTGTCCCAGGAGGCTTCTTGCTCCCTGCAGGAGCAAAGGCAGCCCCAAGGGAAATTCAGGCTGGCGAGGATCTCTGGCGCAACCTCCCACCTTCAGCAGGGTCAGCTTCAATGCCGCGCTGCCTGGAGCACTGTTTAACCCACTGCACCAGCCTGCTGCCCGCAGCCAATTGCTGTGTGCCACAGCTGAGCCAAGACCTGTTTGCACATGCAGCACAGCTCCCCCTCCACCCGAGACCCCAGAAGGGACCACCACTCCTCAGCCAAGCCACGCGAGCTGTGCTCAGCCCAGACCCGCAGCAGGATGTATAAGACAACCCCTTTCCAGCCACTGCCCCAGCCTCACTGCAGGCACCCACCATGGGAATCCAGCAGGACGCTGCTCCTGGCTGGGGAACTCAGGCTGGGCCAAGAAGTCCCGGTGACGCAGCTGTGGTATCTGAGGAGAGCAGTGGTTTACACGCTGAGCAAGTAAGGAGACACGCCAGCTGGCATGAGGGCAGCCCATCCCAGGTGCCACGGCCACCGCCATTCCTCCCCAGCCTGCCTCCCTCACCGGCTGTAAGTCCATGACAAATTTATGGCTCTGCCGGTCCTCTCTGTACATCCAGGGAGGTGGTGGCACATCACGGTTCTGGGAGGACCGTATCCAATTCTCCTCATTCTGGAGGATATCAGCAGGGCCAGGGAAAGGCCTGGGCTGCCTGGCACCAGGCTGCCAAAGCAAACCGCCGCAGGTGAGGCCAGAGGCTCATTTGGAGCAGCAATGCACCCTGCAGGCTTCTAGGGAGATACTGCCTGTGCTCTGTGCTCCCCTTTCCAGTTCTCCTCTTCCCAATGGAATCCCACCCTTTGGACAACCCAAATTTGAAGGAGAACCCCAACAGCTCTGCCCACACCCCATCTCTTACCAGATGCATTCTTCCCCTGGCTCTCCAGTGCTGCTGCTCCCACAGAGGATCGCGCCAGTCATCCTGGGGGCCACGAGCACGTGGAGGCGGCGGCCCAGCCTGACGCGGATAGGGCTGCAGAGACACAGGGAGAGGAAAGCAGCATGAGAGCCTCCCCGCTGCTGCAGCCTCCCCCTCCTCTACAACAAGGATGTCATGCAGGGATGGGGAGCCCAATCCCTCCCACCTGTAGTCACAGACAATTCCCAGCCTTCCCAACTCGCTCCTGCACCACGGAGATGCTCTCCAAGCTACTCTGCATCCCAAGCAACGGAGCAGTGGGTGCCCACCCTCGCTGCCCCACTCCCGAGTCCCACACAGCTCCTGTGCTCCCAGCCACAACCTCAGCTCCACCTACCCCCCAGGGAAAGGTCCAGGGCCCCCTCCTGCACCGCTGCCTCGAGGACATCTTGCCAAAGCGTTGCTCCAGCCCTGATCCCTGCACAGAGGTCCTCAGCAAGTACTCACTGGGCTGTACAGAAAGAGGTGTGGGTGAGTACATCTTGCAGGATGGGCATTACGTCTGTTTGGGGTCCGTTTTGGGGTCAGCTTTGCCAGTGGTGCCACCCACAGCTGTCCCTGCTCTGCTGAGCTCCGAGCACTTGGACCCCCTGAAGCACAACGCGGTACTGCCAGCAGTGAAGGCAGTGCAGAACTGCTCCCCAGCCCTGGAGGGGACGAGGTTCCCCGCAGTGCTGGTGCTGTTCCCTCACACCGCACACATCCACTGCCGGGTCTCCCCACCCATCCCAGATCTCCACCTGCTCACAGCGATGCTTCCACTGCCCAGTGCACCCTGCACAGGTCACAGCGCCCAGCAGCACCATCCCACTATTGTTCCTGCTGTGTTGGCTCACAGCACCAGGGCACTTCACAGACTTCCCCCCCAGTGGCCGCAGGGCTCAGTGCTTATTGCACAGTACAGCAGCAGGGCAAGCAGGGCTGGCTCTGCCCTGACATCGCCAACTGGGGACAGCGGGCTCTTGGAGCAGCAGGGCATCCTCAGCATCCTGCCAGGAGCCACAGCACAGACACCCTCCCCTTGTCCCGCCGAGCAGCAGGCACCGAGCTACTGGGCAGCAAGGAGCACAGTAGCAAGAAAATAAACACTTTTATCCCCAGATCGGGGTTTTACCTGGCACATCAGTCCCAGGGGGCCTCGCAGGGGGCTCACCTGCTGGCAGAGACCAGCACCAGCGAGTGGGGGATGCAGTGAGGACGGAACCTCCTCCACACACAGGGCAGATCGCACCACCTCTGTTTGCTGAATGCAGCCCAACAGGAAGCAGCGGCTGTCAGCAGCTGGCTGTTAATCCCCCCCCCCCCGGCCAACTACCTTTGTACCCCTCCTGCCCGCTTATTTGCTGCAAGGCGCCAAAGCCAAGCTGCAACGCTGAGATATAGGCTGAAAAATACAGGATATAAGGGTCCATAACACCGTTTGGTTTTGCTAACTCAAAAAGAATTCGCACGTAGCATCGCTTAGTTTAACTTTTGCTAACTCAGAAGGAATTGCTTAGTTTTACTTTTGCTAGCCCAAGCACAGACCCAAAAGGAAGCCTTCTCAAAGCAGAAAGGGTCCAATGAGATAACAATGGAAAGAGGAACAAACAGGATAAGAAACTGCAGAGGCACACAGGGTGGCCGAAGAGCTCAAAACTGGGACAAAGGTCGGAAGGACACGGCCAGGAATACTATGGACTTCATCCAGGAACGACCACCAGGTGGGGAGGAGGACGTCGAACCTTCATCCAACAACCACCAGAGGAAGTTACTGCATATGCACCGGGGGGAGGGACAGTATGTAAATGAATTCCCAGAAAAGTAATGCATATGTCAATAGGTCTCAGGAAATACTGCTGAACATGTATGGCTTGGCTTACAAATCCCACTCTCTGGCGTGCAAGCTAGGAGGAGCGCTCCCCCTTGAACCCAGCGTGTGGCGCAGTGCTGAATAAAGGCGTATCTGCTCTTATAACCCCATGTGGGTTAGAAAGTTTGATTCCACAAATCAGTTTCTGCAGGCAGCAGGTGACTGGGGAGCTCTGTTCAGCTGCAGGAGCGGTTGAGGAGGGGGACGCCTTTGTCGCGCCCTGAGAATTCTTGGAGGGACTCCCCCTGCTCCTCTGATCACTGCAGGACAGACAAGGACCGTCTGGAAGCGGAGCAGGTACGTTTAAAGGAAGGCTCTGTTACGCGTATGCAGGAGCAGGGGACTCTGTGAGATGGGGGGGGACGCCCCAGCAGGAGGGTTTACCCTGAGGGTGGACTGGTCCAGAGGTACAGGACGGGAAGATTACATGGGACAGGCATTTTGCAGCACTGTATCTGATTCCAGGGATGGTGGGTTTGAGCCCCACATCTGGCTGGCACTTGTAAGCCAGGCTGGCGCTGGGCACTGGGAGTCACGGGTTCGTAGAAATCTGGAACCCACGTTAACTGCAGGCATTGTGGGTTTACGTCCCAGCCCAGGTTAGCGAGGTACAGTGCTGACAGCTGCCCAATGGTAACCTACATCACTGAGCCACGGCCAGGAACAGCAATCTGCACTGTTGTTACCATCTGCTGCAAACATCCAGCGCTGTGTGTTCGAACAACGGCTGCCGACACGTCTGGGATATCCTCCTAAACATCCAAACTGAGACGGCACCTGAGCCGGCAAACCTCAGCGTCGGAGTGAACGTGGTGCGACTGAGACGCAGCTGAGCTACGGAGGGGCAGCGGAGCCCTGGTCCTGTCCTCCCACCAGGGAAACGGCCGCAGGCGGACGAAGCAGAAGCTGTTAATTGTCTGCACAACTCCCTGTATGAATTATGTTTGATAGACTGGGAAAAAGCAGATCCGAATGGTTTTAGTGTAAATGTAAATGAACTTGTTGGAGTGGGATGAATATGGAACTTATATGTCATAAATTACGGGGAGGGACAGGAAGAAAGGTGTATATTTCACAGAACAAATGTATGCTGTCCAGTTTATGCTATACTAAAGACATAAATCGAGGGTATTGGTGTTACTCGTGCCCAGAGTGTGGACAGGAGTGGGGGAACGAGTTCTGGGGATTGTTTAGGGGAAACTTTAGGATAGAAGGAGCGATTTGTGGAAACATTAATAAACTAATCAAACAACAGAACAGCGCTATGGGAGGTCACAAGGGAAAGAAATACCTAAAAAGACACCTCTCGGGTGTATATTGGCACCTTGGAAGGATGTTGCAGGAGGGCCAGGGGGCACTTTGAATAAGAAAACCCTGATAAAATACTGCAACCAGTGGTGGATGCTATACAAGTCAGAAGATGGGGAAAAGTGGCCCCTAAATGGGACCTTAAACTACAATACTATTTTGCAACTAATGCTGTTTCTAAGAAGGGAAGGCAAATGGGACGAGGTCGCATATGCAGACATGTTCTTTACCCTCCAAAACCTCCCAGAATGGCAAAAAGGATGTGGGATGGGGGCCCTGCAGGACCCTTCAGTGTTAGCATTAGAAAAAGAGCAACGAACAACAGGCAACAGGAAAATGAAGCGTTGCTGCTCAGCACGTAGCACAGGGCAGCAGTGCACCAGACTAACAAAAACTAGAACCCCTGATGAATTGTTTGGTCACTGTCAGGCTCCAGGGCTAAGAGGCCTTGGTATTGAACGGACAGAATATTCGGAGGAAGAAGAGGATTCTTCCCTCCCCGGAGCTCCCCCAGGTTCCCCTGTTGCTGCTTTCTAATTCGTGAAGCAAAGTGCTTTCTGAGCTCCCAAAGGGAAGCAGGAGGACCAGATGGGGCACGGATCTGGACAGGGCACCTGAGCGAGACGGCCTAAGAGCAAACCGAGAGTGGGCAGTAAAAGGAATGGAGAGCCACCCCCGGACTGTCAGTTGGTCTGCCCTGTATGCTATAGAGCAAGGAGCAAGAGAGACTCCTCCGGAGTTTCTGGATAGGCTTAGAGGTACCACAAGGAAACACACATCCTTAGATCCAGGATCAGAAACAGGTATCCAGCAACTCACATCATTGCGTATGGACAGTCGGCAGGGGACATGCGGCAGAAGCTGCAGAAAATGAGGGGTCTTGATGCACGAAACTTAGAAAGCTGCCCCGAGTTGGGCAGGCTGGATAAGCCATGGCTATGCCTCTCTCACCCCACCCGCCCTATCTAGGCTTAACAACACGCAGATCAGCACTTCTGTCAAGAGCCTCAGCTGTGCCTGGAATCAGTGAAGAAAAAGGGCGAATAACACCTACAGCAAAGACACAGGAAGCACAAAAGCACATCACAAAAACAAGGTCTTAAGGAATCAATCAAAGATTCACTTCCATTTTCCTTGGCAAATCATACCTTTTCCATATGCATGTTTATTTCCTAATTTGCATAACTTGTGACTCAGTACTTTCTTGCTTATCACAGGAAGCCATGTGAGAAAAGGGGATCCAGTCAGGATGCTGAGGACATCTGGGTTCCCCTCAGCCGGCCTGAGACCTGCCCAGCACGCAACCCCCGGATCCAGACCTGCGACCGCTGTGCCAGCAGGACAGGTTGTACAGCCTCACCCAACCTAACTCACCTTCCCTGGGACACTGATGAGGTACAGACTGTAACAGCTTGCTCAGAGCACGTTTAGAACATTGTCTGAGTGCGGCTGATAGGGGTCAGGGAAGTGTGCTGCAATCACTGCCTTCCCACTGGTTGCTTCGGAGCATGACTGCAGCCCCCCCTCATCTCCTAAGGGCTGCACACCCCTGAAATGGCTCCTCTGCTCCAACTGGTCTCCAATAAACAGAAGCAGACAATTTCTTCTCCCCAGTTACTCTTTTTTTTAACCAACCCTTGTTTAAGGCGCAGCTTAATGCAGAGCCTGCAAACTCACTGCGCCGTGCCAGTCGCTCCATCAGCCCCACAACAGCCCTCACTGCTGCCTCATTCGCGCCTCTGGAGGCTCCCGCAGGGATGGTGGCTCAGGCAGAGAGCAAGCACATCTCCTGGGAACTGAACCCACAGCCCAGGCCGGGCCTTTGCCTCAATCCGTGGCTGCCACGCTCTCCCACGACGCTCCCAGCTTTGTGCCAGGGGCATTTTGGGGAGCAGCACGCCCAGCAGCGCGGCCGCTCCGGCACAGCCTGAGGAGCGTCTGGTGGCGGCGGTGGCCCCGGCAGGACAGCACTCAGCACCGAGGGATGCTGCCCTCACCCCCAGCTACGCAGACGGCAGAAGCTGAGCACAGAGAGCTCCGCTCCTCGGGCAGGGCTGGCTCAGCCGCGCCGGGACGCTGCAGTTCAGCGCTGCTGGGCTGGCCAACAGCTGCCGGGGACGACGGGCTGCCACAGCCGTCCGGGCAGGCTCACCTTCGAACACCGCAGCCGGCTCCATCTCCCGCTCGCGGCACCGCAAACCCCATCGGCTCAGCGCCGGGCTGCTCGGAAGCTTTGCCCGCGGCGCTGCTGCCGGCCCAGCGCCCCCTGCTGGTGCAGCCACGCACACGGCGCCTCCTCTCTGCCCGCGCTTCCATCGGAGCCGCGTTCCCGTTGCCTCAGCTCCGACAGCCAGACGTGCCGGTGCTCGGGGCAGGCGTCTCGCCCAGCCGCCTAACGAGACCTCTCACTTTCCTGCTGCTTAATGAACATCTGCTTTCTTTCACGCCTGAAAGCCGACGTGGGTACGGATGGTGGTTGGCAACCGGCAGCGATAGCAAGCTGGTCCAAACTGGTCTGTCCTGCAGTGCAAAACTCCCTCCCTGCTCCACAGAGTACAGCAGAGTTTGTGACCTTGTGGTAACGTGGGAGGGAGATAAGGGAGAGCAGGGAGACCAAGCTTGAGCTCCCCGGTGCCAAACACTAGCAAAGGAGGAGATGAAAAGGAAAAACTCCAAGTCTGGAGCAGGCTCAAACCTGAAAAGCTGCCACCTGAGCAGTGCTAACACCGTCAGGGCAGCTCGTGGCCCATTGGAGCCGGCTGCTGCCCAGCGCTGCTCCCACAGGGCAGATAACACGCAGCTTTCCAGCTGGTCGGTTAATTGCAGCCTCCAACAACTATAAATCAATTAACTAACTGGGCGGATCAATTAGCTCTTTGCGATCTGGGAAAAGAATACAGCAGCACGGACAATACAAATGCGTCCCCAGCCTCGGTGGCCACTGTGGCAGCACGTCACCTTGCGAGGGGAGCACCAGCAGCTACAGCAGCTCCTTGCCTGCTGTTACCTACCAGACCCACATCCTCCTCCTCACCACCGAGGCATCCACAGACAGGAGGATGAGGAGCTGCCAGGGACGTGGGGACAGTGCCACCTATTTGCAGTATTTACTCCTTGTGCAGCAAAGATCTAAGATGCAGCAGTTACACAATTCGTGGTGTAAAAGTCCAGGACCGCATTTTGCGGAGCTTAGCAAACAGGTGACTCTGCAGGGCATCCTGACGTCTGCCTGCATGCAGACAACCACACAAACCCCTGCAGAACATCAGCAGGAAAAGCAGAAGTGACTGTCACTGGAATTTGAAAGCTTTGCTGTCCCTCGGAGAGCAGCACAGCATCTCCTGATGAACAGCACCCACCAGCTGCACGGCCGTGTGTGCCCTGCAGCAGGGACAGCACAAACCTCTGCGAGTGCCACGGTGGTGCAAAAGTGCCCTGCAGAGCTGGCAGGGAACAAAACTTCCACACAGAAAAAGCAGCAAAGGCTGAAGGGGTTAAAGCAGAAGTGAGCCCTGCCTGGAAAATTCACTCAGGCACAGGCAACGTCCCACGCAGCCTTTCAGGCATTCCCTCACTTTCTATGCGTTTCTCTCTTATCTCACGTCCTGCAGGCAGCAAGCCTCAGGCAGCAGCACAGCTGCCCTTATCACGGCTATGAAACACTGTTCCCAGGCACAGAAACCTTCCAGCGCTGCCTCGGCCAGGAGCTGACGGCGCTCACCGGGCGCTCAGTTTCCGCACAGGGGAAGCTCGTGGCCAGAGACACCGCAGGCTTTTGCTTCCTGGCCCCAAACCGCTGCACGGGCAGCTTGCCAGGCCAGGGCTTTAAGTGCCTGCTCACCAGCCAGCGTGCACCACGTGTTTGCTGGCCATGAGCTTGAGCAAGGCTTTTCCCTTAGTGACAGAAGCTGCCAGAAACGGGATTCCAGGTTAGAACCGGAAAGAAATACAGAGAATGAACAGCTCTGCTGGCCCAGGAGCCACCAACCTGGAAACACAGCACGGCCTTGAGGAGCATCCCTGAGCTGTACAAGGAGAAACTCAGACACCTGGAGAGATTCTCTAGAACAAAGAAACTACAAAAACGCTCTACTGCCTGGGAAAGCACAGGTCAGACTGGGAAACTGAAAACCGGCATGGTTTTCAGTTGGGGTCAAATGGCCAAAGTCTGCAACACACACTGGCCTCTCCACGTGGTCCTGCTCTCCAGCTGGGCCCAAGGATGGAAAGGCAACTCAGCATCCACCCAAGAGAGAGCACCTCAGAGAGAGATGCCCCACAAGAACTTCTCCCTGGGATACGTCCCAACGCATGGATCCTTGCACGGACACAAGGCTGGCTCCCTGCATGTGGCGCATCCACTACAGCAGCCCTCATCATCTGCCCCCACTCACAGCGCAGCAGAGAAACGTAACCCTGTCTGCCACCCTCATCACACCGCCATCCCTCCCCAGCCCGCCTCCCTCACTGGTGCAAGTCCTTGGCTAACGTTACCTCACGGCTCTGCTGGTCCTCTCTGCGGTGTGAGGGAGGCGGTGGCACATCACGGTCTCGGGGTGCCCTTCTCCATTTCTCCTCGTTGCGGCGCATGTCAGCAGGGCCATGGAAAGGCCTGGGCTGCCTGGCACTGGGCTGCCAAAGCAAACCGCCGCAGGTAAGGCCAGCAGCTCATTTATTGTAGAGTCATAGAATCACAAGGTTGGAAGGACCTACAAGATCATCCAGTCCAACCGTCCTCCCATCACCACTGCTACCACAAGCACTGAACCAGATCTCGCTGCTCCTCATCCAGGCGCCTCTTGAACGCTGCCAGGGATGGCGACTCCACCACCTCCCTGGCAGCCATTCCACTGCCTGACCACTCTCAGAAAAAAAGCCGTTCCTTGTGTCTAATCTAAACCTCCTCTGCAACAACTTGCAGCCACTTCCCCAGGTCCTGTTTGTTGCCTGGGAGAAGAGGCCAAACCCCTCCTCATCGCAACTACTCTTCAGGAAGTTACGGAGTGCAGTGAGGTCTCCCCTGAGCCTCCTCTTCTCCACACTGAACAATCCCAGCTCCCTCTGCTGCCCCTTGTAAGAACTGTGCTCCAGATCCCTCACCATTTCACTGCCCTTCTCTGGACACGTTCCAGGGCCTCAATGTCTTTCTTGTAGTGAGGGGCCCAAAACTGAACACAATACTTGAGGTGCAGCCTCACCAGTGCTGAGTACAGGGGGACGATCACCTCCCTGCTCCAGCTGGCCATGCTATTTCTAATGCAAGGCTTGTTGTGGCCAAAGTCCAGGACCCGGCGCTCGGCCTTGTTGAACCTCATCCCATTCACCTCAGCCCAGCAATCCAGCTTATCCAGATCCTCTGAAGGGCCCCACTACCCTCAGGCAGATCGACACCATCTCCCAGCTTGGTGTTACCTGCAAACTTACGGAGGGTGCACTCAAAGCCCTCATATCTAGGTCATCAATAAAGATACTAAACAAGATGGGCCCAACCCCAAGGGACACCACTTGAAACGGGTCGCCAGCTGGACTTCATTCACCACGACCTGCTGCGCACGGCCCTCCAGCCAGTTCCTTACCCAAAGAAGGGTCTACCTGTCCACGCCACGGGCAGCCAGTTTCCCCAGGTGAATACTGTGACAGGCTGTGTCAAAGGCTTTGCTCAAGTCTAGGCAGACGTCAACAGCCTTTCCCTCGTCTGCCAGACTGGTCAACCAGTGGTAGAAGGACATGAGGTCGGTAAAGCACGACCTGCCTTTCGTGAACCCGTGCGGACTGGGCCTGATCCCATGGAGCAGCCACACATCTTGCAGGCTTCCAGGGGGGTTTTGGCTGTGCTCTGGGTTCCCCTGCCCACTCTGCTCTTCTCAACTCTCCACTCTCCCCAGGGGAGTCCCACCCTTTGGACAACCCAAATTTGAAGGAGAACCCCAACAACTCTGCCCACTCCGTGCTGCCCTGCTGCTCGCCCTCATCTCTTACCAGATGCATTCTTCCCCTGGCTCTCCAGTGCTGCTGCTCCCACAGAGGATCGCGCCAGTCATCCTGGGGGCCACGAGCACGTGGAGGCGGCGGCCCAGCCTGACGCAGATAGGGCTGCAGAGGGGACACAGGGAGACGAAAGCAGCATGAGAGCCTCCCTGCTGCTGCAGCCTCCCCATCCTCTACAACAAGGATGTCATGCAGGGATGGGGAGCCCAATCCCTCCCACCTGTAGTCACAGACAATTCCCAGCCTTCCCAACTCGCTCCTGCACCACGGAGATGCTCTCCAAGCTACTCTGCATCCCAAGCAACGGAGCAGTGGGTGCCCATCCTCGCTGCCCCACTCCCGAGTCCCACACAGCTCCTGTGCTCCCAGCCCCATCCGCAGCCCCACCTACCTTCTGGCGCGCCCTCCTGCACCGCTGCCTCGAGGACATCTTGCCAAAGCGCTGCTCCACCCCCGCTCCCTCCCCTGCACGGAGTCGCTCCTTAGCGGACCAGCGCTCAGCTGCGAGGAAAGAGGCGGTGTGAGCGCATCCCGCAGCACGGGCGTTCCCATCTCCCCCAGCTCAGCTTCACAGCGCTGCCATCCACAGCCGTTCCCGCTGCGCTCAGCCCCGACCTCTCGGGCCCCCCGAAGCCTTCCCACGCTCCCCGCCCAGCTCGGCCTCCGCCCGCACACGGCTCTCCGCAGGTTTGCGGCACACGCCTGGGAACGGCGCCGGGAACGGGCCGCAGGGCTCGGGGGTTGGCCCCTTCTCGCGTGGGACGGCGGCGGAGCGAGGGGGCCCGCTCCGATCCGACCCAGCCCCCCCAGCCCGGGCTCGCCGGACTCCTGGGCCGGCTGGGGAGGGCCGGCATCCTCGGCGTCCCGCCCGCAGCCGCCCGAGGGAGCCGCGGCACCTACATGTGGCCCTCGTCCCACGGGGCGGAGGGGTCCGAGCTGCGGCAACGGCCCCAAGGGCGCGGGAGGAGGGGGCCGGGATTCCCACCGCTCGGTGCGGAGCCTGTCCTGCCGGCTGTAAGCGCGGAGCGACGAAGGGAAGGGCCAGCGACGAGGGCAGAGCCGCAACGCCGCGATGCCGGACGTGAAGAGCCGATCGGGCCGCCGCGAGGCGAAGCGAAGCGAGGACGAAGCGAGGACGAAGCTCCGTGCGCAGCGCCGCCCGCAGCCGCGCTAGGAGGCGCAAGACGCAACAGCCGTTACCGGCGCGACGACGCACGAGAGGATTCGGCACGCGGCGGGGCGTTACCGCGCAGGCGCGGAGCGCGAGGCCGCAGCCGGCGGGGGCGGTGACGTCATCGCGCGGCGCCGGGCGGCGCGAGGCGGGATGGCGGCGGGCGGCGCGCAGGCTGGCGGATCTGCTGCATCGTCTCCGCAGCCTCGTCCCCCTCCTCCGCAGGGCCCGGGCGGGTGGCTGCGGGCGGCGTACCGCTTCGCCGCCGACAGGAACGACTTCCGCAGGTCGGTGCGGTGCGGGAGAGGGAGAGGGACCGGGCCGGGGCCGGGGCCGGCTCCTCGGGCGCGGGGCCCGCAGGCAGCCGCCGCTGTGCTTTTCAGGAACCTGCTGGTGAACGTGGGGCTGTTCGCTGCCGGAGTGTGGGTCGCCCGCAACCTGGCGGACATCGACCTGATGGCCCCGCAGCCCGTGGCGTAGCGGCGGTGAGCGGCGGCGGGGGCGGCGCCGTGCGGGCGGGGATCCGGTTGGGCGGCCTCGGCGGGGACGCGGTGCTCCCGGTGGGGCCCTTCCAGCTCGGGGCGTTCTGCGGGTTGTGTGGGACGGAGATGTGGTGGGATGGGGGGTTGCGGCTGGAGCGCGCCTCAGCCCGGAGCGGCCCGCTGTGCCCAAGTGCTGTTGTGCGGGATTGCCTCGGGAAGCAGACTGAGACGGCGCCGTTTGACTCCGCTCTTACAGAGCCCGGGAAGAACTCGGCTGCGAGGCGGAAGAGTTGCCCTCCTGCCACAGCCCGGCACCAAATGGGAGCTCGCCAGCAGTTGTAAGTTCTGAAGTGCTCACAGAGCACCTTCCATTCTTGTCCTTTGCAGAACTGCTGCTCCCACTGAAAGCCGTCCCATGTGAAGCAATGCCAGGGAGCAGGAAAACTTCCACGTGGCAGAGGGAGAACTCCTATTCAACCCATTCTGCAAAAGGCAGTGAGAATTGTTTCTTGGAGGATGTAAAGCCATTGTGCATGGAATTCTTTTCTGTATCACCATTTAGTTCCTTAATAAAGGTAGAATAATTACATGACACAGTGAAATTTTTCTTTTTTTAATAAGAAACTTCAGTTTACAAAAAGAAGGTGTAAAAAGAGTAAAGATTTACAAAAATCATAAAAACATGATTTTTATTTCACACCCGAAAGACAAACAAACAAATCCAGTCCTGGGCTGTGTGCCGGATCCTTGTTCAAAAGGAAAACAGAACCGTGGGAAGCCGTGGGTAAACTGCAACCACCAGAAGGGTGCATGGATCGTGTGTGGCTGAGATGAAGCTGGTGCACTTACTGTACAGGAATCAGGGCTCTGTGGGAAGAAGCCATTCGGTGTTGCATAGCATGTTTGTGCACTGGACTCAAACTACAACTTGCCTTTAGTGACTTCAAGTCCCGCTATGGGTGGTGAAGCTGTTCAAGGGACACTGAAAGCACGACATGAGGCTGACGTGGGAGCTGTAGCTTGAATTCAATCAGAGACAGAACGCTGCAGCTCCCAGAATACGCTGCCTGAAGAGCAGAATGACTTCCCAGCCCTGAGCGTTGTGGCAGTCTGACTGCAACATGGCTTTGGATTCTTTGGGCAGTTATGCACAGGGTTTTAAATGAAAACATTCTCTTGCAGTTGTACTGCCTGTGTTTTGCGACTGAGAACTGCCCCAAAAGAGAAGTGTATTCCACTACTGAAACATATTTTAAAATGCTGTTTTCGAAGCAGAAATTTTAACATCTTGTAAAGAAATGGATTATCTGTACTTCAAAAGGATGTCAAATTTTGCAGGAACGGTTTTGTGAAGGAAAAGGGGATTAATTAGAACAGTAGGTCATTTTGTAGTTAATCTTGGTTTTGATTTAGAACACACTGATCTCCTCCTGAGGCCTGGGTTCAGCAGGGGGCAGTTCACAGTTAAGTACATAAGGCTGCCATAGGTGACTTACTGGCTGCTGTCTTCACAAACAACTGAAATAAAAGCTGCTCAACCTGCAATCAGAAGCAGTGCTTCAAGAGTGTTTGCACCGAGCTGCGAGGCAGCCAGATTGCCTGAACACATTCAGTAATTAATTGGATTCTCTCGTCGCTTGCTGCTGCCTTGAAGCGTCCTTGAAGCAGAGGCAGCCTCAGTCTGGAGCACAGCATGGGACACAGCAGCTTAAGTCATTAGTGACAAAAGGAGCAGAAACTCAGAGCAGATACCAGAGGCTGTTCTGACTTAAAGCCCCCACAGAAGTGACTGGAAAAAAAAAAATCAGAAAAGCCACCAAACTCCAGTGTTGATCCTCACCCAGGAAAGCAAAGTAGCTTTTTACTCATTTTCATAGTGGCTGCAAGGGGATTTCATACTGAAAGAAATGCTCGTGTTCTAACCAGCCTGCAGCAGCACCCTTCCAGCAATCTTAGAGTGGGATTAACTTCAGAAGCCCTGAGGATTAGCTTTCCTTCTACCCCTGCTCAGGTCAGCAGTGGAACTTCCAGGGCACCAGCAGAAAGGGGGGCTTCCCTGGCAGCATCCCTTGCAAGCCTGTCTCAACTCAAGGGAGTTTGCCTGGGCTGCACTTTTCTTGAAGACAGTTTTAACCATCCTGACCATTGCAGCTGTTTTCACCCAAAAGAAAATTGGTTGAAGTTTTACTGGAAACAAACATACCTACTTGTTCCTTTCCTGTAAAACTCTCATTTAGGTAAATGTACAGAAGGCTGTGCCTTAAATAGCTGGTGGCTGCTTAACCAAAGCTGAAGCACACGAGAAACAGGGCCTCTTCCAAATGGGCTGAAGGTTGCCAGTGGCATGTTCCTGTACTCAGCACGTCTGACAAACAAGCTGTACACTTGGTTTTCACATGGATATTTGGAGTTCATCTCATAGCAGTAGGCAACAGCCATAAGGGCCAGGCTTCGTAACTTCATTTAATAAATATGAGGAGAATGAAGATGAGCTAGGAAGCGTTCATGAGTCAGAGGCACGGAGTTGTGCAGAACAGACATTGCACTCCCTGTGCAAAGGAGGAGCCACGTGGGTAAGCCATCTGAATTCCTCAGCTACAGATTCCGTTCAGTGCCCCACAAGCTGGCAGTGGCATTGCTCATCTGCAAAGCTCTGGTTTGTCCATGTTATCATACATTCTTTAGCCTCGCGAATCCACAGACGCTGCACTGATTCACTCATACTGACTCAGTGTAACAATTATCCCCATCGCATGGATATGGTTCTCTAAGGAGAGAAGGCTACAGCCCAAGTTCTCGACACTTAGCACTGCCGTGCTGGAGGGGCGTTTGTTCCTCTTTGTTCCTCTTCAAGAGGAGAAGCACTCAAAAGCCCTACATTCCAATGAAGATGTGCTCACATGGAAAGTGTAAAACAGGAGCAGACACAGAGGGAGCCCTTTTCTACCCCGCAAAGTCCGAGTTTGAGGAGTCAGGGCCAGACCCAGCAGTTCAGCACGGAAAGAATCACATTCAGCACCTGCCGCCTCCACGGAAAGCGCGTTACTGAGACAGAAGTACAAATCAAATGGCGTTCAAATCATCAACTGCGTGATCTCTTGTTTCACTTCCAGCTACACAAGCATTTACAGTGACATGGGGGGCTTTAAGCAGGCAGCTCCCTCTAAAAACTCGAGAATTTGGGGTCCCGTTCCTTAGGAATACTTAATGGAGAAGCACCATTCATTTGGCAGTACGAGATTAGCAGTAGGAGAAATGTTTGCACCCAGACTGCAGCTGATGAGACTGCGTCTGGATTTTGTTAATGTCCCTGCCAGCAAAATACATGGTCCTCTGACACATAAGGTCACCAAATCCAGTGCTTCCCATTTCTCCTGGAAGTAAATCGCTGCTGTGCTCAGCTTGGCTTTATTTGTCCCCTTGTTTCTCCCTTTCTCCTTCCTGGCCCCCAGCCTGCACAAAATCAGTAGCACAGCACTGCTCTGTAACTGCAGTGCATTCCTCCATATCATGCACATGCTTCGGGACAATAAATAGCAGTGGTTAAAGCCAATTCTGGGCCCATTGGGCTGGTCTTGTCTTTTTTTTCCCCCACCTCTCTCTACCCCCCACCTTCCCTTCTGGAAATGTACTTTCCAAACTGCATTAGTAGGACCATCGGATCTCTCAGAACTGTTTTGGCCCACCATGCAAATTATCATTTACACAAATGGAACCCATTCACACACAGAGAATCACAGAATTTAAAATAAAACAAGCACAACAGGAGTGGCCTAAAGGCACACCCCTTAAATCAACTAAGACAGATCATCACCAACAGGTACAGCTGACAAACACATTCTGCTTTTCATCATTCAGTCTATGCTGTGGGTTTCAAAATTCAAAAGCCTGCCGGAATGCTTCAGATTCCCATCTGCAATAAGCAGGCATCAATATTAATGTAACGGACATGAGATACCACTAAATTGAGGTTTTATATCCAAACCCAGGTTTGGGACAGAAGGCCCCTTCCATAGGCACAGCTCCTCTACCAAAAACTCCCCATGGAGCTTCGATTCCTCGCTCTGCACCACACGCTCTGCCAGAGCTCAGCTTAGTGACTGACTGGAAGGGGCTGGATGACACGAGAAAATCTAAATCCAACTGGCCTCTGAACAAGCCGTTCCTTGAATTATGACATATACAGACATTTCAAACATGTAAGGATAAAATCATAGCCTCTGAGCTTGCTGGTCAACTTCTTCATATGGACATGAAATGTGAAGATGCCAGTGATGCTGAGAGTACCTACAAAACACAAATCTGCTGCTTCAGTCAGGACTTATTTCCCAGTGTTTCTGTTCCATGCAAAATGTTATTGGATACAAGGCACCAAATCTAAGGAATCATACAAAATTAGCTCACTAAATTGTGTTGGCAGGTAAAACTAATCCTGTCTATTGTATCTTCCATAAATACTTCTCATTTTGCAGTACTGTTACTTCCACTGGAGCTTATCCTGGGGTCTGGCAGCAGCCAGAAGTTTTGTCAGGATGCAATTAAGCACATTCGGGCCTGGGGATGTTACAATCAGCACAAGTGTGTCTAAATTACCCCCAGGACAATATTTCAGTATCTGAAGGGGCTGTAAGAAAGAAGGGGGCAGACTCTGGCAGGGGCTGTGATAG